ACAATAGCCCTTTAGTATTAAAGGGCGCCAACAACGTTGTTTTGTCGATTAAGAGCGCCAACAACGTTGTTGTTGATGTGCAGAAGTATTTAACTGATGACCAAAATTGGACATATCCTTGTCCTTATCTTTTTAAAACCAGATTCTTACTACGCAAATACAGTAACTTGTTAATTCTTTCAGGAAGATGGATGCATCATTTTCCGGAGGGTTTGTCATTATATTACAGTTTAAAAATATCTAAATCAAACATATTTAGGCACAACGAAATTCTCAATATCCTTTTATTACAGAAGCTAAAGAAACTTTATGGGGAAAAATATTCAAACGTTACCTTGATTGATTGCGAACAAGTCAATTTAACGATCGATCATAAAACCAAGATATAGATAATGAGGAATCGAGTATTGAAGTAATGAATCCAAATCTGAAATTTTAAGTTCAGAGAAACTCTTTAGGTGGTATAAAAAACTTTTTTATCATTATATTTCTGTGTTTAAAAAATATATTTATTAATTTTATGTTGTAAGTGCTTGATGCTTGATTGCCTTGGAAAGTTTAATAATCATTCCAAACAAAAAAATGGGGTTGAAGTATTGAATTGAACTTTAAACCTATTCAGAAGATGATAGATAACATTAAAAATTTCGAACGAGCAAAAAAGCTTGGAATGGACATAACAAAAAACACCTTTTACTAATAGCGTTAAATTCAAATTTAAAGCTATATATGTGTATTAAATAAAATTTGGATATAAATGCATTTTATACATTCCGATTGAATGTAATTTGACTTGAATTCTAATAAGTTGAATAAATATATATATACAAAAAAATCAATTATTTCTTCAAGAAGTCTTGTGATCTCACAATTCAGTTATTCTTACACGCAGATTGAAATTTAAAAAAGCGATTACGTAACTGATTTTATGGCGATACTAGGTGCGTTGCATCACACCTTCTACTCTACTCTACTTTATTTAATCTCAGATTAGTAGGAATAGCAATAAAATCTTTATCGAAGTTATTTCCGTTAATCTGAGGTTAGAAAAGTAAGGTAGAGTGTATGATGCTTATTTTCTGAGATTTACGGTAAATGTGATTTTCTTTTGACGTTAAACACATGATTTGTTTTTTTTAATCAGTATTGCATGTAAAAATTGTAACTACTTTTGCCAATTTTTAAAGTAATTTAACTTCACAAAATATGATTCACTAGTTTTCATAAAATTTTTGATTCCGATTTAGTGATTATATCAAGGTCTGATTGTACGTAAATTTATGATACAGCCACGGGCAAATAAATATAATAAAATTCAAAAGCATGACAATAAATAGTGAGAGATTTAAAACGGTAACCGGACAACATATCGATATTACTGTAAATAAGATTATAAATCACGCAATTTTTTCAGCTATACGGTTAAAAGTTGACTAATGAGATATTCTGTGGTATATATTTTAATGAATTAACTCCCCACGTGTCGAATTTAGAAAATTAACGCTAAACAATAACCAACTTGAATGGCCTAAGTTTCACTGTATTCCAATGAAAAAAAATTTGAACAAATGAATAATAATCATTAAATACGTAAATCTGAAAAAATAAAAATGTTATTTTATTATAATAAATACAAAATTCAGATGATAATGTGTATGTACTATCTATTTATCTATTGAATGTATATGTAAAAATGTCAAATTATATTAATAAAGATTATATTGCTGTCCCATTAGACCATTTTGTTAAATTCGTATATATATTCAGATGTGACTCAATATATATTCCCTTAATATAAGGTTCCACAAACAATGGCAAAATAAAGGCAGCAATTGGTAAAAACAAAGACATTTTAAAAACTTTGATTCCAAGACTATCTTTAAAGTCCTTTCCTCTTCCTAAAATATCACCTTCAACAGCTTCCCACAAAACCAAAAGTATTCCATGAAATAAGAAAAAAATTGTATAATCTATCGAAAAATGATTAAAAGACACTATTGCTATATAATCATGAAATAATCCACTTATCAAAAAAGCAGCACATATTCCAAGCGCGCACCCAAGGGCTTTGCTGTGTTTAAAATAGTTTTTGACAGGAAGATAGCCAAATTCTTGAAAAACTTCATTATATATTTGATGCCATTGGTTGGACCATAAATCTCGAGGACTCGTTGATAAATATGGGTTACCCATAAAAGGTTTTGTATAGAATATTGAAAGGATTAACCATTCTTTGATGATTATTTTAAGAGATTTTGAATCTTCTCGTTGTTTTCTGTGTTTATCTTTATTTTTATCAGTGTCGTTAGATAACAAAGGTTTTAAAATTATGCCATAGAGGATACAATAAAAATCCCACGTTTGTGAAAAGAATATCATCGCATAAGTTATATAAAGAATGCAAAAAAAGAAAGCATATGGTTCAATAAATGGATGTCCAGTCCTAAGATAATCTAAAACTCGTAACCCATATGATCTTTCTGGAAATTTTGGTTTGTTATTTTTTAAATATTCGGACATGAGATCTAAAAGTAAAAATTTCATAATAGCCGCGGTTATGTGATTAATCATCTCTCGGTTAAGGTCTGAGACTTTGATAGAATCAATATATTTTTGATATTTTGATTCATCAGGAATAGTTACTGATTTAGGACGCCAATTACATAATGAACCAATAAATGAGGGAACCTTAATTTTAGGATCGATGGAAGATTGGTATTTTTTTTTCAACCATAACATCATTTTAAAAAAGTAAAATGTTGCAAATGCTGCTATATTGAAGTGAAATTGTGAGTCATATCTTCCATGATATAAGAAAGGAATCAGCGCTTGAACAAAGGGTATAATACAAAGTACGAAAGCGAGGGTTTTGCTAGTTACGGGTTTGAGAGATAAAAGAATAAAGGAACATGGATAACTATCACATAGACTATTGGATTTAATGTGGGTAGAAATTCGTATATCTGAGACATCTTTCATTAACGCTAATTGGTATAATTGTTGAAAATTTTTATTTACCTTTACGACCGAACTTGAAAAACGTGTATTTATAAATTTTTATGATTGACTATATTAATCATATTATTTGTTGACAAAGGTGTATTGTCACACCTAAACACATAATGAATAAGGAAATACTTATAGTCATTTGTGCGAGTGAGGATACTAGTAAATACTTAAATGTTTTAAGGACAACAAAGACTCTAGACGTTTCTGTAAGGACTAGTAAACACAAATGTTTAAGGACAACAAAGACTCTAGACGTTTCTGTAAGGCTATGGAATGTTACAGGAGCACCAATCATGATCGACGTGAGTATGTTACACTGACCACAATCACTGTCGCAGATCATAATGAAATCGGACTAAAATGAAATGAGGGGTTTCTATTTGACCCTCTAAACCCCATTTATACTTGTTTATTATAAAACCTGCTCCTAAACCCTAATCCTACCCCTAAAAAAATGATAAAAAAATGCACCCAAAAAAGTTGTATTTTTCGGTGGCTTGTCTATTTTACACTATCGCTCATTTCATTTTAATCTGATTTCATTTTAATCTGCCACAATAATTCTTATCACGTGTATTATAAAAATAATTATCGATAAGGCCAATGATAACGATAATACATATCTAATTTTAAAATATTGACTTAACCTGGTACAGTCGACTCTGGAGGTAACGAACTCAAAATTAGTGGTGTGGGCGCAATGCCGTAATTGGTAGTGACCTTTTTTACAAAAACACAATTATATCGTGATACAGTAATCCAAATTGGATGATTTTGAAGCCATTCGGTTCGCCTCGATGAGACGAATCGAATGGTACCAAAATCATCCAATTCGGATTGCTGGACAACAAGATATTCGCAAATAATAATTCAAAGAATTACGACAGAAGTGCCGTAATTAAGCCGTAATTCATTTGATCGTTTTTCGTGAAAATTTTGTGATCTAGTGATCCGAGTTTGATGATTTTGGTATCATCCGATTCGTCTCATCGAGATGACTCAAATGGTATCAAAATCATCCAATTTGGATTACTGGTTCATGATATAATTGAGTTTTTGTAAAATAGGTCACTACCAATTACGGCATTGCGCTCACACCACTACTCAAAATAACAAAATTTCAATATAAAAAATATCATCATGAGTTCTTAATTTCTTTAATAACATTTTTTGTCTTCTAGAATGTTAGTTAAGAAAATCTTTATTTAACCAAAAATATATATATGTGAGAAATGGGTCAAATTTTTTTTAAGTTTTTTTGACTTCAAAAATATCTCAACAACTATCAAACCAAATTTAATAAAAATTTTTTTTTATTTAATTATAGATAGTTGTAGAATTAATTCATATCGTTCTGTAGAATATATTAATTAAGTTTATATTTATAATTTAAAATCAGTATTTGCGTATTTAAGAGTTATGGTCATTGCTTTATTGCGAATTATGAAAGCCAAAATATATAACAATAGATTACGATTGAGAATTCAATGTGTTTGAAATAGATCATGACACCATTTATGCATAATTTAAATTCGTTACTGATTGAAATCTTGCAATTATCTAGTCTGTGTATCATTTCCTTGTACAAAATTTGAATTATTCTGTATAATTTCTTATTATGACATTATTAATCATTCATATATAGATATCATCATACGTATAGTGATCCTATAAAATTTAAATTGTTATGAATAATATCGATATTAGTGATGCAGGCGAATCATCCCAATGAAAGTTATGGCATACGACAAGTTGCGGTTACCGTTGCGGCAAAAATCACATGATCCCATTGCTTCGTAATCATAAATCAATATCATAATGTTATAACTTGTCGTAACTAATTAATTGATATCATAACTTGTCGTAACTAATTAATCAATATCATAACTTACGTAACTAATTAATGGTGTCATAATGATAATAATGATTAGCATAGCTAAAATTTAATAAATAAATAAATAAATATATATTTACTGCAAATTGTTTTCGCTAAAAATTTTACTATCATAATGGAATCAATTGAAGACACTAATGACCAAGAACTCTATTTTTCATTTTGATTAAATATGATACAAATCATTTCTTTACACCTGTTTCCCAATGTTCTACTTCTCAAATTTCTGTTACTCAAAGTTCTATCTCATCTAGTTTTACAAGTAATCAAAGCATTTTATCTGAAGATGTTCCTATTTCAAATCAACCTAAAAAAAAATGTTGTGGCGGACCTATTTTTACATTGGGGACTACTTAGGAGAGGGTCATTATTAGCGTTGTAAACTTAATTAAAATAATTTTTTATTTTAAATGCTAAAAATCAAAATTAATTACATTTTTGCATTTTT